CCACCCGATATGTCGCTAAGTTTATTTAGGAACAGGGTGACTAACACCCCGCCCCCCGTGAATCTCCTGGGATTCACCCTCAATCATAAGCCTGGCAAGGCGGGATGCTGGTCTGCGGAAGAGCCCACTAGGCGTCTTTACCTCTGCAACGCGTACTTGACCGTCTTTGGCTGTAAATACTCGCGTAATACGTCCTCGTTGCCATTGCCTGCGGGGTAACGTTGGTTCGCACAACATAACCAAATCATCAACTTGCAGAGGAGGAACCTCTTCCTGCCACTTTGTACGGCACAACAGTTGTGGTAAGTATTCTGTCGTCCAACGCTTCCACAGGCGATCTTTCAGATTCTGGGAAATCCTCCACTGTTTGCGCAAGCATATCTTCTCGTCGACAGGATGGGGCGTCTGCGTTGAGTTGACACAACCTATCAAAAAATGGTTCGGCGTTATTGGTTCGTCTTCCTCGCTTGAGACTGGCACATCGGTTAAAGGGCGTGAGTTGATGATATTCTCTGCTTCAATGAGAACGCTTTGTAGCGTGTCTACCTTTGGCGCAACTTCTCGGAGTGTTCTGTTTAAAAACGTTTTAATGATTCTTATTAGCCGTTCCCAGCAGCCGCCTGCACTAGGATTCGCAGGGCAATTGAAAATCCACTCTATTTTGTATTTCATGGCCTCAGTTTGTATACGATCTGCATCTAGCAGATGTTCAGCAGCTTGTAGCTCCTTTTGTGTGCCGATAAAATTGGTGCCATTATCGCTACGTATTCTCACTGGTGTGCCCCGGCGATTAATAAAGTTTCGCAGGCACAAGATGAACGCGTCAGTTGATAAGTTCCCGGCTAGCTCGATGTGGGCGGCTCGGACGGTCAGGCAGGTGAAAATTACACCCCACCTCTTTTCACGACGTCTACCGATGGAGACGTTGAGTGGGCCGAATAGATCGACGCCAGTATAAGAGAATGGGCGTACAAATGGAGTGACGCGGTCACTAGGTAGTTGACCCATCAATGGCGGATACGGTTTGGCTTTGTCGATCGTACAAGCAAGGCATTTTCTTTGTATGTCTCTGAGAAGTGGCTTCAAATGCGGGATCCAATATTTTTGTCTCACAGCATTGATAGTTATTGCGAAATTTTGGTGATGATTCTTCTCGTGGTAATGGCGTACGAGTAGAGCTGTAACAACGTGTCTTCGTGGCAGCAAAATTGGGCGTCGTGCTGCCAGAGGCAAACATTCTGCTTCGTCGATGCGACCGCTTAACCGCAATATACCACTTTGGTCCAGGTACGGTGAGAGCTTATACAATGCACTCTGTTTCGCCAGTTTACGCGAAGCTGCCAAATCCGCAATTTCATCCGCGAAGCATTCTCCTTGCACCAATCTACATATTGTCACGTCTGCCATCTCAAGATCTGCTATCGTAAGATGCGGGGGTCGACGTACTCCCGCCGTAATTCGTTGCGATCGAAACCGACTGGTCGCTCGGATCACCCAAGCTATAGTTCGTTGTAACTTCGAATACGAGCTGAATCTGGTAAACTCAATAAATGGTTCTCTCGGCTGAGCATGTAGTAAGCGATCGGACTTGACCTCTTCTGGCAAGACGGATGGTGGCTTTATTGTCATGGCGGGCCACTGCTGCTCGTCGTGTTTTAAAAACTCCGGCCCCTTTATCCATCGGCTATTGTTGTCAAACTTTGAAGGGCTAGATGGGCGCGTCGCGACATCTGCGGAATTTTGCGAAGTAGGTACCCATCGCCACTGTTCTGGAGATGTTGCACTGAGAATTTCGGCGATTCGGTGACCCACAAATGCCTTGTATTTCCTTTGTGATGAGTATACCCATTGCAGGACGGTTTGCGAGTCGCTCCAGAAAATTACTCGCCCAAATTTGAGCTCGTGGCAGTCGCGAATGAGTTTGTATAGCCGAGTGCCTAACACCGCTGCCTGTAGCTCAAGCCTCGGGACTGACATCAGTTTAATGGGTGCAGTGCGCGTTTTGCCCATGACGAAGCTAACATTAGCCGTACCTCTGTAAATTACGCGAATATACCCAACAGCTGCGAATGCAATCTGGCTTGCATCAACAAAAATATGTATCTCAGCGATACCCTCGGAGATGTGCGAGTAACATCGTGGCATTTTAAATCGTTTGACGTTAAAAAACTCTTGCCACCAAGGAAGCCATTTGTTGCTAAGTTCCACCGACAATACCTCGTCCCATCCGATTTCACGCCTCCACGTATCTTGAATTAAAAGTTTAGTAAATATGAGAAAATCTGCCAACATACCGAAAGGGTCAAACACGGCCATAGTGATTTTTAACAGCTCCCGCTTCGTTGGCGCTCGCGACCCGTTGAGTACCTCTTCCGGAACACGATGGAATTTCGTGTGAAACTCGAAGGTGTCTTCGTTTGTGTTCCAATATAAGCCGAGTACCTTATCTGCTATCGAATTGCGTTCCATGCTGACTGCTGCACGAATAGATGGTGATAATTTGTTCATTTCTTCTTCTACTTCCGAGCAATTAGAAATAAAATTGCGTAGTTCGAACCCTGCTTCCAGATTGATTTCCATAATTTCGCGACTGGTCTTGATGGCTTGTTCTGTATTGTCAAAGCTGACCACTAGGTCGTCGACATAGTGCTTGTTTACTATGATTGCTGCAGCATCAGGAAAGCGATCTTGAAACTCCTTGGCATTTTTGTTTTTAATGTATTCGGCAATGCAAGGCGAACACACCGCCCCAAAAATCAATGACGTCATTACGTACTCCTCGATGGGTTTGCTAGTATCTGCATTCCGCCACAAATAACGCTGTGCATGTTGATCGATTTGTCGTATTTTAATTTGAGAAAACATTTCGCGTATGTCAGCTGCGACACCGACTTTTCCTTGTCGAAATTGCAGAAGTATTCGTACCAACGGTTGGGCTTGCTCTGGCCCTTTCAAAAGCGCTGTATTGAGTGATACATCATTTACTTGGGCGGCCGCGTCAAAAACAACTCGCAACTTTTCAGGTTTGTGTGGATTGTGGACTGCAAAGTGCGGTAAATACCACACATGCTCGTATGGCGCGTTGACTTCGGTGTCACTCAGTTTTCTGGCATATCCATTGTTTACGTACTTGTCCATTTCCCGCTTATATCGCACAGAAAATTCAACATCATTTTTCATCTGTCTCTCCACTGACAACAGACGCTTTTCTGCCATTGTTTTGCTATGGGGCAGCTTAGGTGGAAATGGTTTCCACAATAAACCAGTCTCATAATGCTTACCCACTCGCTTGGTTGTCGTGTCTAAAATCGAACGTGCATGCTTGTCTTCTTCTGACTCCAGGTTCACCGAATATGCATTAGTGCCAAAACTGTCGGACGCAAAATATTCAGACACCAAAGTGTGCAGTTGTTGACAATCTTTGACCAGCATAACCCGAGGATTGGAATTTGAAGGCGATTTTGTTGGACCATACGCGACCCAACCTAAAGGCGTTTTGGCGGCCAACGGACTCTCATTATCAGCTTTAACAATAGTAGTAGTAGCACTCAGATATGCGTGTTTTAAACCAATGAGTAAACCTGGCTTCGACTCGTGATAATTCATAAGTGGTAGATTTCTTAAATGACCAAAATCTTCTTTGCTTAGAGACTGCTCTGGCAAATTCAAGTTGTTTACTGTATATACGTCTCTAAGCGCAAACTTTTCGTTACTAGCGCAATTACCCACTTCGATATTGATTTTATATGATTTTTCAGTCACCACCTTATTGTCGTACCATTGTAATGTAAGCGGGTGTAAGACCCCTTTAGCTCCGATCATTTTCGCAACCCTTTCTTCCATGATCGAGATAGACGAGCCTTCATCGAACATGGCAATTATTTCCCGCTTCCCATCGGGCCCGTAAATATTGACGGGCAACATTTTAAATAATTGCTGGTTCGTGCTGTGTGCTAAACAATTTAAAAGTGGTTGAGCGGGGACGTTCGATGGACTGACCTGGCATAGTGCTTGCGATGCTGGCACCTCGCTATGGAGTAACTGACTGTGATAGCGTTGGCAACCATTTACGCTGCATCGTCTCTTCGAGTGACATTTAAGTGTGCAATGGCCCTTACGCAAACATGAGAAGCATAGTTGCTTCGCTTTTACTAACTCCCACCGTTCTTGAACCCCTAACGTCTTGAATGCTTCACACTGCGAAGTGGCGTGATTTCCGCTGCATTTGTAACATTTCAGCGGCTCTTTTGCGCGGTCTATGTGCATTATGCGACGAGGGTTCGCTGACAGAGCATTGCTTCTGGTTGACTGTGCACTTGTTGTCGGCAATAAACATACTATTCGGGCCAGCTCACTAAGCCACGTCGAAAAATGTTCTACCGTTGGGTATGGCTTAATGGTTGCTGCGTATTTCGCCCAATCAAACTGTTTTTGGTGCGGTAATTTTGATACCATTTGCTCTAGCAATGTGGTATTAGCTAAATGCTGCTGACAATTGGCTGACTTTAAAAAGGCGACTACGTTACGAACTCGAGTTGAAAACTGAATAACTAGGTCGAGCTTGTGCTCCACGATAACTGGAAACTGTTGCACTTTGGCTAATTGAGCTTTCACCAGTACATCTGGCCTGCCAAACCTAAACTCTAATTCATTTATTACGTTGGGCACGTCATTGGGAAATATTAGTAAAGATGCAACGGCTTCCCTTGCCGGACCAACCAAACATTTCTGTAGCCTAATTAAATTCTGTCGATGACTATATTTATAAATTTCAGTCGTATCCTTAAAATTAGCGACAAACAGTGGCCACTCCTCGGGATCCCCAGTGAAGTTTGGCAGGTCATACAGCTTCGCATGTGAGTCACTTACTGACGCGGCAATTTGGTCACTTTCTATAATTTGGCTTGACTCACCTTGCGCTGTTTGCAATACTGCATTATGTTCTTGTAAGCCTTCTGCCGGCTGGATTTCTTCTCGAAGTCGCGCAATTTCTTTCTGACTTTCTGCTGTACTCCGACGAAGCTCCTCCACTGAAGCCTTTAACGCGTTCAACGCCGCCACCATCCCGTTGGCTTGAGCTGCATTCCCTGGCATCTCGTCCTCCATGGCACCTTCAATTTCAGTCCTTGGTCTTTTCCTCAAGTTATAGCGGTTTGGCTCAGACATATAATTTACCGCAACCGAGAAAATATATTCCAATAACGGCGGTCCGCTATTCGTGCCAATACTCGTGTGTATGTGTGTCAAGCAGTACGTACCAAAATCAAGAAAACTGTTGTGTCGCCAAATGAACAAAACTATTTTGCGCGAATTTAAGAAA